AGCTGTATCATAATAAGCACGAACTGTAACTTCTTAACGTCTATCGTGTCGAATGTCGAGGTCGTCGTCCACGTCTCAGTCCGCTAGAAACCATATCCCACTTTCCACACGCGCCAAGGCCCACAATTTCAACGAGTACGCAAACGTAGACCGCGATGGAATACCTTCAAGCTTGAGCCTCCTTTCTGCTCGGAGACCTTCCTGGACTCCTTCTCCGTTCTACGATCTTCCAGGCCCTCATGGTCCAGATAGCTTGCAGCCTGGACTTGCTTCGTATCGCGATGTCCCATCCTTTGGGGTACAACCACCTGTGCATCCGTCGCCATCCCCAGACGACAGTGGAAACTTTTATCAGAGACTTCAAATTGACATGAAAGACTTGGTGGGAGACGCAGTTGGCAACGTGAGTTGCTTATATTTCTGAAAACATTGGTAAAATTTTATTTAATCTATCACAAAGTATATATTTATAATATTTGAAGTATTCCAGAGGTGGCTGAAATTATGCTGTTTGTGTACAAATCATACCTCTCCCAGCTTGGCTGGAACCCTTTCATGCCTGTGGTGTTTACATTTTCGACTTTTCATAGTCACATGACCAGTGTCTAGGCTCACCATGTGACCGGTCACATGCCAGACATCGGACTTTATTTATTTACAACTGTACAGTACCTCATGTATTTTAGTATATATACAGGAGCAATACATTGGGAGGGACTCAGCAAGTCCTCCTGTTGTCTACCAACAACTAACTTATTCCTACCAAGTGGGTAACCACTCCACCTCTTTCTCTTCTTTTGAGTGTTGTTTTCATTGTGCTCCAGTGCCCCAAGACTGTGTCTTGTTGGTGTTGTCACAGAATGTAAAGGATTATAAGAGTTTTAGTACACATCAATGTTATATTTGCTCATTGGTTAGTCCACATTGCTAGCTTAATTGTAGTGAACAAAATGTTACAATTACAAATATACATTGTGAGAATACAAGTGTGACAACTAATCCTACATATTTCCATCGTGTTTCACAGCTACCCACTTCTCTCTAATTCTAGCAAGAACACTGTCTCCCACTGGCAACTTCTCATGGTGCAAATATGATGAAAATATTTTACTAGAGACCATGTTAAATCAGTAAGGCAAAGGTCAAAATATTGGACTGAAACCTTACTTGTTCCACCAAGATAAGATGCTGTTGAATAATCCTTCAGAATCAGTGACAGTATTGGTGCATGAAAAAATAGATTGGGATGGCAGAGCAAAGCAGACCTAGGAGACACACATGTAAATTTGAAATATAGACATTCTATATAACTCACCTGTCTAGCTATGTACACAATAAAGCCCAGTGTGACCTTTGATGTACCATGCAAATAAGCATTTGATGAACAAGTTGCACAAGGCTTGGCCTGGGAGTCAGCAGAGGAAAGCAACAGAAAAACATGTTTGTAAGTCTGTGTGAATGAATAGTTAGTAGTGGCTGGAATCTATATTAATGTGTTCACTCACTGAGACAAAGATGTTGCTACACAAAAGATTCTTCCATGGGTCATCCCTGTTATAATTGTAATTGGCATATATTAACACAGACCACAGATCACTTGTGGCCTGCACATCACTGCTCTTGGGTTTATTTTGAAGTCTTTGAAGTCATTAGTGTGTGGTTTAAAAGCACTTGGCAATAACAAGGCTTATACTTACTCTTTATTATCCCAGTTAAAATCTGCTGGGCAAAGGAACCACCTGGTGCATATATGATTGAACCCATGGGTAGATTTCACATTTCCTGAAGTGGGTGAGTAATATTCTGACCCTTTGGTACAAGCCAGTCAATCATCAAAACCTTGATGGACTTTGTATTGTCAGAATGAGCACCTGAGCAGCCTTTTGGATCTATCCATATATTCAGTGTAAGTGTTATTGATTAGTTAGCTCATCAGTGAATCTTTTAGGAAGTCTTCAGGTTTTGCAGTGGGTTTAGTGCTGGGAAAGTGGCAGACTTAGGTTAGGTCTTTGGTATGGTTTCTTGGCTGTATTTCAGGCAAAAATATATCAATGTTATTATCTAATATAGTCGCAAGTTTTTCATATCTCTGATTTTACAGGCCCAAAAATGTCAGACTTGGGCTCAGCCAAATAACTTGGGGATAAGCTTATTCCACCATTGTTAACACAATATCTTTTGTTGGCATATAATTCACGGACCCAGCTGAAAAATGCCTGAATATTCATATTTCTGCTTTTTGCAGGTTTTTTGATACAGTGTAGAAGGTCCTAGCTTTGAAAATGTTCGCCAACAGATACATCCATAAAATTATGTGCTGTCCATCTGGTAGTTAGGACTTTTGGTGCAGTGTGAAGAATTCTGGTTTTTAAAACTGATGTTGGTGTTTGTAGACTTGAGGTCTCGGAATCCAAACAACCCATATTGGTTTCCAGGTTCATGCTAATTAACATAAATTTGAAGTGATGATCCATAAATTGTCACTGAAAATGAGATATCACAATATAGCACCACTAAAATGAGGTAGTACAATGTAACTTTTGAGATTTTTAAATCAAAAATTGGGCCCACATAATCTACTGCTTGCTGTCTCTGAGCATCACCACCAATACCACCTATATGAGGGTCCTTATCAATTTTGTCAAGAAAACAGCTCCAAGTCTCTCATTCTAACTGAGTTAATACAACCAATGGGCGGAGAAGTAGAAGTAAATAATGGAAAATAGCGACAACAAACAAAATCACTAACTTTTGCATACAGGAACTTGATGTTGTGGTTGTTACCATGTAGTCATCAATTCACAGGCTGCCAGTGCTGTGGTAAAGGCCAAGGTTATACCACCTGGTAAAAAAAAGGCAGTGTTTAGAAAGAAATCAGGATGTGCTCAAGTTGCTAGTAAGCCTACACTAACCAATAATTTTGTACAAATCTTAATTTTTTTGTTTTATTAGAAAAATGATGGCAGCAACAAAATGGTAAACTCCAAAGATGCCAGCCTAGGACTTAACTGAAATGCTTGGAGAAAGTGCCGGCTTGAAGGATGCTGTATGTTGGCAAATAATATGGATGCTTTTAGTTGAAATGCTTGTAATAGTATCTGTTACACTTGGAATGTGCAAGCCTGGTAACACTGGTTCTGAAATATGTAAATGGTTTGATAAGCCCATTGATGTACAGGTTTGAGATATATTCTAATGATAAGACTTTGTTCTGATGAATACCAAGTTTACACTGTTGAAGCATACAATTGTATTGGAGATTATAACTATAATGCAAACATATATATATATATAGTTTCTACTTTAGGGCAGGTGTTTGTGTTGAACAAACAGAGATGGGTAACACCGTAATAGGTAATAGTATATGGGAGTATGTGGGTAAGTAGCGGTAGGTAGCTACTTGAGAAATGAAATAAAGTCTGTAGGTAGAACAGTTTGTAACAGTATCTCACCACAGTTGATTTAAACAATGCAATAATGATTACTGTAAAATAAAAATTGTATATAATTGTAGGCCTGGAATACCATGCATTTTTTATTAATATGGTAGGGCAACACTGGGGGGGGAATGTGGGTATGTTATTACCCAATACATCTGAATCATATTTAAATCACATACAAAATGTAACTCAAATATAATGCCACAACACATTGGAATAACATTCCAAATTTGTTTACTATGACTAAAATATGTTTTCTGCATGAAGACTATCCATATGTTTTCATATTATCTTAAATATGTTCAAAATGTATTTCAGCTCTTACAATCTATCAACACCCATTATTTGTATAAACTTTGTGTAGCTTGTTATAAACCCAGCAATTCCGATATCATCTTAATGCAATTTTACATACACTTAAAGATCATTAAAGAAATACTTTGCAGATGTTTAGAATATATTAAATCTGAGGCTTGCAATATAATATGAAAATACATTTTTATTGTTTTATATATGTGTCTCAATGACTTACATCTTAAAGTCATAGTAAAAGACATTATATGTGTATTTTTTCAGCCCATTCAAATGGTATGCTGCTAATATTATAGTACAATTAGTAATTTGATTGAAATGAATATTTGCAAAATATACATAATAAATGGATATCACACTGAATATGAAGTTGTGAATTTTATTTGTTATGTGATGCCACTATTACCAGTATGTGGCAAACACACACATTTGAAAGATCTCTGTAAACAGTTGTCAACTGCTAACAGTTTATAGTGCACTGTCGACAGCAACAGACAACTGTTGTTGTTGACAGTGTACACTCAACAGTTGATAGTTGAAGAGTGGAATCCTATGTTAATCCACCTTATTTGGTCACACAAAAAATAACATAGATTGTCATATATTGACCTAGATTCACCTCAACCTCATGGAACCATCTAGTTAGGGTGCTGTAGACATGTGGTATGGCAAGCTAATTAGCTAGCTTTTGCTTTTGCCTTTTATCTGCCACTGAATAACTAGACTGAATAATTCCAATAATTCCGGTACATAAGTCCAGGAATTTACCACAACCAGCAACAGTATCTCCCTGAGCCACACCCACATTTATTATGTTGTGAATCTGGGATCATGGCCAATTGCCTTTGACAACTCTGGCAAAACTTTGGAATATGTAGTTGTTGCCATCTCGGCAGCTCATCATCATTGCCAATAATGAGTTTGCTGTCCAGTCTTGATGTTACAACAGTATTTTCAGCATCTATTTTCACTTTTCCTTTCCTGTTATTTTTTGGACTTTTTACTTTTATAAGTCACAACCAAAGTTTTTATACTCTGGTGCAAAGTAAAAACAAGCAAGGAGGAGTGAATGAAGGAGTGGCTAAACTCCCTTAGATAGGACCAAGTTAGTTCAACAGGAGGACTTGCTGAGGAGTCTCCTTGATCTATTGGGGTATCTTTACAACTACAGGCTATTTGTATATGTGTACTATGCAGTTGGTAAAAGTAGTGGCTTATGATATCATAGGGTGCAGCCCATACATCAGGAAAACATGATTTTACTATGATTGGATATAGTTTGGTAGTGTTTGTGGCAAATAGTGTGCTATAGATTGATATAGATGCCACTACTGTTATGACAAATTATGACATTTGTTTATAGTATGAGAAAACATGCATTGGCCAGGGCTTGAACCTGGGACTCCAGCTTTCATGGTCTGGTGCTTTACCAACTAAGCTACCAAGGTGTACTTGAAAAGCATACTGATTGGTTGCATGCCCAGAAGGTCCAGAATCACTGTACACGGGTGCGGATCCCATTGTGTTGTGATATGACAAAACCGGATAAACCCGGTCTCTGCCGAAGCAGCCATTGTTCTCCATGGAGCATAGCCACCATTCCATGGAGTAACCATTGTTCTCCTAGGAGCACAATTGTACTCCTAGAAGTCATTATACTGTAGCGAGTAGCACCTCCAACTATAAGTAGTAGAGGGTTTAGTATAGGAATACCTCAGTCGTTTCTATAGCCTCTTGGGCAGCGGCTGAGGTATGTTACGTTACATTTATTAGAGATCACCTTAAATTAACATCCATTGTAGTTTCACATAGGTAAATAATATAGTCATTTCTATAACCTTTTGAACATTTCTGTGTTGTAATGGTTGGTGGTGCCAAAATTTCTAAAACATTCAGCATAGTGTAGCATGGAGTGAAATTTGGGACTGTTGAGATATTCTCATACCCCAAGATGGACAAAAATGTGCTTGTTGGCATGATAGAGATCCAAGGAATCTTCCAGGTATTGAATGGTGGTATCGTTATGGCTTGCATATTATGCAATGTAGATAAAGTCGAGGAGTGCCCTATAACAAGTTACGACCTGAGAGGGGACCTTCCCTACAATGCACCCCAGTAAAATCCTCGCCATATTTTTTCTCTCCATCCCAGATATCTGGGATAGCTGTGACCAACCATGCTTGAAATGCCGTACACCAAAGCAAGGTGGGAGTCTACAAATGCAATCATCCAACTCTTTGTTGGTCATCAAGCTAGAGCACTAGTGAATCAGATGTTTTACGACACCTTGGTAGAGTTGATGGAGTATATCAGGGGTTATGGCCATGTGGATGTTGCAATGAGGAAATCCCTCCCAGAAAGGATGACGAACACCCCCAGACACATTTTGAGCTTTGCATCTCTCCTGGAAATTGCTGATAGAGGTTGCATCAGCTTTGGCTGTGAATATAACCGCAGCAGTCTTTTTCTGGATCCACCATCTCACTGGGCGTCTTTTTCCCATAGTATCTTCACAGGTTTTGCATTTAGGAGATGTCCCATATTTTGCACAGGTGACAAGAAATTGTTCTGGATAATCAGCTACATAGTAGGCTAGGGTAGGATGGATCCTCATAACCCTTCCATTTCCCCCTGTGATTTCCATTCCATGCTTTCCAGGCTCTATCAGAGGCTCCAAGACAATATGTATCAAGTCATGAAAGAGTTGTTGAATATGTGCTGACTTTTGCTTTTTGGATAGATTGTCTCCCCTACATTTTTGCTAACAGAGAGATAGGCAATGAGAATACAGGCATGTTTAGAAGGTTTACAGTGCATGGATCTTGGCAAATTTCCCAGAGTTAGATACACTGGATAAGCAGACTTGTTTCCAGAGAACTGGGTGAGTTGCGTCTTATCTGTGGCTATGATAACAGGGGCTACACAGGCACCTTCAGGTAAGTTGTTCTAGATGGGAATATTATTGTCAAATATCTGAATGACACATTTGGATTCATGCCACCTACCTGTACTGTGTTCCACCAATCTTTGGTCCACATCTCATTGTAAATCCTGTGAGATTTTGAAGCATTGGTGAAGATGCGCTTGAGCCTGTAGATAATGTCCTTGACATGAGTTGAATTTCATAGCAAGGACTTGATAGCTTTGATAGGGATCACAACAATAAACCATATGCTTATGCTCAGGACTATTCCACAATTCTCTAGTCTTCCAAGTAGTATGTTCTGGAACACAATTGACCAGCTTATAGAGCCCATATTTATTATGGTAGGATAGACCTAATGTATCCACCACCTTGGTTGAAGTAGATAAATCAATATATGTGCTTGAAAGAGAGAAGAGGAAATGTAGCCCTGGTATTGCCATTAATCTATCAAATATTTTATGGCCTATCCTATTCTGTACAGCCCAACAAACAACCCTCCAGTCTAGCTCTAATGCAAGGGGTGCAAAAATGTTCCCTGATCCATCTGACATATCTGAATCCATATCCATATCACCATCCATATCATCAGCTCCATATCCATATCACCATCCATATCATCAGCTCCAAATTCTCTCCTCCATCTTTCATATACCGTTTTATTCATCCTAATCACCTTTCATGCAGTAGGGTGGGGTACCTTAATACACTCCTCATCATTTTCACCAAGAAGCTTTGAGGGTCCAGCCATATTCTCCTCAGATTCTGTGGGAATAAAGTCATAGAGATGATTATAGTAGTCATCCAACACGTCTTCTGGGTCTTCATCCATAGGTCTAAGTTCATCAGATAATATATCAGGTACTTCTGTTGTCTCCAAGTCATTACCCCTATCAAGTTCTCCTGGAATTGTCAAACTTTGTAGCTTCCCTTTGTTATACCACTTGCAGCTTCTTGCTGATAACATATGGTATTAAACCTAAAGATTACATGTAAAGCTACAGACTACACTGTGGCTGATAGCAATATATTGTATAGGCACAATTTGGGATTTGTTCACAATCGTAAAATAAAAGGCAAAAAAAGTACCTCCTTTTACCTTTTTTTCGCCTGCTATGGGTGCATGTTGATCTCAGGCGCTTTCTGACAGGCTCCTCCCCTTCAATTTCATCTGAAGTGTGTTTAGTTCCACTTGAAGGCTTGCTGGGCCCAGATATGGGTGGGTCTGGGGGATTGTGATGGTCAACAGGCAAAGACAAGAGAGATGGTTTCTTCACATCTTGGAGCTGCAGCTGGTACCTCTCTCTTCCAGCAGTGATAACCTCCACAAATACTCCCACCCTATCAGACTCAGGCTTAATATGTTCCTCATATCTTTCACAATATCCACCATCTCCTAGTGTGAAATTTGTTTGGGGGGAGGACTATAAAGCATGTTGCCATCACCACTATATGTTTTACTCCACATGAATGCACTGAAAAGCTTGACCATTCCTGCCCTGACCGACACATGGCTGCAAAAATAAGGATTGATGCATGCCATAAAGTGTAGGCGCGAGAGCATAACTTTATTTGGAATTGGCTGGAAGTCCAGTGTTACAATGGCTGTGTCCCAACTACAAATTGGGTAAGCATAATTTTCCCACATGCAGAATAAGGTGTCATGCACATGTCTGGCTGTGTTGGATTCATCAAGTATTTGCATTGGAAACAAAGAAAAATCTGTCAAGTAGAATGTTTGTAATGTGTGTAATGTCAGCACTGTGAAGGGGGTGAGGGGTGTCTGCAGTCTTCTG